CATGACCAGGTCCTGTAAAACTTCCATCTCATTTTAGAGACCTGCTCTCATTTTGTCTGATATTAATACAACTGTCATTTCCCTGTTTAGTTGTGTTATTGTTTTTATCAAATTCTCTGTGTTCTTTTGTTTATGTATCTTTCTTATACGCAGCATAAAGCTAGAATTCCCCCCCCCCCCCCATTGGAGAATTATTGTTTTCCTCTTATCTAGATTAGTTCATTTACTTTTAATATGATTACTGATATATTTCAATGTCATCTTATTTTGTACTTTCTATTGATCCTGCTTTACCCTTGTGTGTGTGTGTGTGTGTGTGTGTGTGTGTGTGTGTATGTGTGTGTTAACTGAGATTTTTAAATTTTCTACTGGCTAGGACATTAAAGATTACATTTCTATTACTCTTAAAATGATGTCAATGCACACCAAACAAAGTAAAGATATTAAATATCTCTACTCTTCACAAGAAAAGTTCAAAAAAACATGAAAAAATATTTTCAATCATTCCCTGCTTCCTATGTGTTACTGGTATAGGTACTCACATGGTGGGTACTAATCTCATCATCATGGCCTCACCCTTAAGTCCTAATCTATACCTCATTATCTCCCAAACCCTCATCTATAAATACCATCGTATGGGGATCAGGCTCCAACATACATTTTCAGGAGACATAACTTAGTCATAGTTCAAGGTAATTCAATTAAGAAAGTACCATTTTTTTTTCAAAAATAAAAAAAATGCTGAAAAATTGGATAGCTATGTGCAAAAAGAAAGAGAAAGAAGGGAACTTGTACTTTCTTACCATATTAACAAAAATTCTAAAACTTTAAAAGTAGAAGAAAAAGCATACATTTTAAAAAAGCATGTGTGTGTGTGTGTGTGTGTGTGTGTGTGTGTACTGCATATGCAAGTATTTGGGAAATTCTTTGAGTATGAATTTGTTCCTTTGGTTGTATCAAGGATTCCATAGATAATTTTTGTATTCAACTGATGGCACCCAAGGGAGTCAAAGATTTAAAGAACAACCATTGTTTTCAAGGTCAGATCAAATTTGAGCAATCACTCTTCATTCCCTTTGTGAGACCTCGGTAACTTGTCTTGGTAACGCTGGTGCTAAAAATGCTTTTGTAGACAGGTAGTTAGAATGCCATAGGAACTAATTTTTGACTGTCAAAACCAAAATTATTTGCAGGCCATAGATATACACAACCTTGAAGGCTGATGCCTCACTTAAGTGTTAAATCACCCAAAACGATTATCTTGTCTTCCTTTTATGTGAATTCGGGAGCGTGCAGCTATTTAAAATTCCTCCTCTGGAGGAGTTCTATTAGGAGCATTACATTTCCTTGGCCGTCCTAGAAGGAACCAGCTCAATATTTTACCATTAGATTTTGTAAAGCTGCTTTGGGTTCTTTTTTGAAAAGTCGGATTGAAGCCCAGGGAACAGACTCTGATTTCGCACTGTGCATATGGCACGGATCTCACCAGGGTCGGAGGGCTCACAGGGTCCTTTCACACTTGTCTGGCACGCGGGCAAACCCCTGTCTCCTAGCGTGGCAGCACACAGACGTGGGAGCGTTCGCCCTCTACTCTGCATCGTTAAGCATGAGCAGGCAGGTGGTTCTAGAGCAGGGGTCTTCAAACTTCTCTCATTATGAGAATCACCTGGTGGAGTTGTTAAAACACAGATTCCCGGATCCCAACTATAAGAAGTGCTATCAGGAATCTGTGTTTTAACACCTCCACCAGGTGATTCTCATAATGAGAGAAGTTTGAAGACCCCTGTTCTAGAGGGTCCCAGAAGGGCATAGGAATAGAAGAAAAACAGGATTCGTTGTGCCACGAGAAGCAGTCATAGCGCACCTGGGGGGGAAGCAATCCCTGACGCAGAGCTCAGCTTGTCTTGGGAGGCTGATGCTGATAGATGGCGAGGCTGGCACACACTCTGAATTATGAAATGAGAGGAGATAGTGGACAAAGGAAGACAACAGCAGCAGTAACTCCCCGTGTTGGGCGCTCACATCCATCAGAGCCGTGTGGAGTGCTTCAGAGGCGGTCCCCATGCCAAGAGAATCCATTCATCAAGCAAGGGCTTGACCCAGGCCGCTGCCTCCAGAAAGCAGCTTTCAGCTCGGTGCTGGCAGGTGCCCTGTCTGCACAGGAGGACAGGCAGGGTTAGCCTCTCATTGAGTCACATTTTTTAAACTTAAACTTCTTCTAACGCTACTTCTTCAACATAGACTCCCCCAGGCCATGGTATTTTGTGGAGGAGCCACATACAAGGGGCCAAAGAGCCACATGTGGCTTGTGAGCTGCAGTTTGCCGACACATTAGTCAAAACGAAGTAAATTGCACAGGATTACTTGTGATTAACAGTATCAACGTTAAAGCTGGTTAATGTTTCTAAGCTCTATGACATTTCCACTATATTATCCTGCATCTGTGATCATATTTTTCATGCATTCACTCATTTGTTCGTTTACTTAACAAGTGTTTGTTGAGCACCTGACCCCATGCTTTGTTCTGGGCTCAGGGGTACCAGAAAGCCACACTCAAGGTTTACAGTCCAGTGGGGAGAGATAGTCAACCAGCAAAGGAGCCAGTCAGTGAGGTGTTAGTGGACACAATGAGGACACACGAAGCCTTGTCAGGGGCCAGAGAGGATGGGTCGAGGGGTGCACTTAGACTTTCTAGGTGAGGCGGTGAGTGCAAGGAAATGAGTAGCTGCCAGGGGTCATTGTATGATGCTTGTCACTTCCTGTCGCAGGGATCTTTACTTCTTGGTCTCAGTGACCTTGAACTGAATCTGAGTTTTATATTGTGTGTTTTTTTCTTCTGGTATATGTTTGACTTAAAACCTCCCATTTCAGTGCAGAAATGATTTTATGCCGGTTTTATTTCATATTCTGCTTGCGTGATTATTCCACAAGACAAAATGGCTAATTGTTTACTTTATGAGTATGTATCCAGTGTCGCTGTCTTAACGAGGTGAACAAATGCTTGGACTTCAGGGAGAGTGTGCCCTGCCCACAAATAGGTGAAAGAAGGGTCCTTCACTGTCATTCGTCCTTGATGAGGGATATTAGTTCTTAGTGTCAACCCCGTGAGAAAGCAGTGGGGATGTCAGGAACGAAGTGCTGATTTCAGTTGAACACTTATATTCCAGAGTGTCTGATGCTCAGATAAGGGCAGCTTGTTTTTGCTTGACTTTAAAAGCCGGAACTCTCCTCCCTAGTGGTAATTAAAAGTAAAAAGCACTCATTAGCTTACTGTTGGCTTGTAATGGCCACCACATCGCCTCCTCACGTGAATAATTTACTGATCGAAAGTAAAGCAATTCAACATAGAAATTACCTGGAAAATGAAAAACCATTCTAAGTAATGAATAGTTTCCATTTCTGTAGCACCAATTGATGTCCCGTTTTTCTATTTCACGCATCCTTCTGCGCGTGTACAACTTGCTGACAAACATGGTCTGATAAGGACACCGCCTCTACCACTGTGGGCAAAGCTGCTTCTGAGCTTAACTCTATAGACTCTGGGCGACATTCATGCATCCAGTTATCCAACCAACAGTCATCGAACAGCTTCTTTAGGCAAGGCATTTCCCAAAGGCCTTGGGGAATAAAAATGACAGCTAATGGTCTCTGCCCCCTAGAGGATTTATTATCTAATTGGGGTAATATGTTATTCTAATTCTGTCCCTCGAATTGAACTGTTGATATTATAATTGATTTAGCCAGTCTTGTGCGGTTGAGTATTTAGAAAGATCTATGCTTGCTCTAAAAGGCCTGTGTTATACACCCTCAGGATAAATACTTGTTTGTATTTCTGATTATTTGTTTGGATCCCTACCAGGAGAGTAACTGGGTCAGAGGGCATGAATGTTTTAGCCTAATTAATTTGAAGAAGTTAGGCAACGTAAGAAAAAATGGTTGCTACCTTCTCTGTTGCTACAGACACTGGACACCGCCTACAGCTCTAAGTGTGTGTCCCTGGCCACAGATTTATAAACTGTCCTCAAAATGGTTCAACCTTTTCTCATTTTAAAGGGTAACATATGAACTATTTCAGTGCTGACAAGAAATTGTCAACTGACATCAATAGTTCGTGTCTAACACGAGCTCACCGAGGTTTTTTCTTGCTTAAATATCTGGAATTTTAGAGAATTAAGAAATCATAAAAAGTATTGTTAGATGGCTTGGGAAGGTTCTTTGACTTAAAATAAAAAAGATTACCAATAACCAACAATTGAATATTGACTTAAAAGCAAAAGTTAGGGAAAAATAGATTACTATTTTGTTAGGGCTTATTAAATTTCATAAAAACATAGTTAGGGTATTCATACTTAGGATAAATTAAGTAGCAAAACATTTGATGCTAGTGTATTTAAAAAGTGTTTTATTGATTTTTTAAAATATATTTTATTGATTTTTCACAGAGAGGAAGAGAGAGGGATAGAGAGCTAGAAACATTGATGAGAGAGAATCATCGATCAGCTGCCTCTTGCACACCCCCTACTGGGGATGTGCCTGCAACCAAGGTACATGCCCTTGACCGGAATCGAACCCGGGACCTTTCAGTCTGCAGGCCGACGCTCTATCCACTGAGCCAAACCGGTCCCGGCCTCTTCACCTACCTTAACTGGGGAACTGAACCCACTACCTGGGCATGTGCCTGGACCTGGAAACAAACCAATGACCCCTTGGTGCATGGGATGGCACTCAACCAGATGAGTCACACTGGGCAGGGCAGTGAATTTTACTTAAGCACAGACTCCTACCTACAGAATTGGGCGAGAGGGGGCGAAATGGTATGGGTGGGGTTCGGAATTCTAACCACGTATTACTTAGCATGGACGTTTTGGCGTAGCATGGAGGTTAGCCTGTAACCATCTGTTGTATCTTTGTAACAGCACTTTTGCCTTCCTAATTTGGTTTGCCTGGCTGTTCGCTTTCTTTTCTGTCCTAACCTTCTTGGCTGTGCTGTTTCTTCGTAGGACCATGGGACACAAAAACCGCTATGTCAAGGTGCCTCGTGGTCACATCTGGGTTGAAGGTGATCATCATGGACACAGTTTTGACAGCAATTCTTTTGGGCCGGTAAGTTGCCTTGTTGCTGTCGTCATTGGATGTCAGAGGTCGGAGCGAAGGTGTGTCAGACTGTTCACTCAAGGAATCCAGCTAAGACTGGTCATGAACCTCCCAGTGGAGCCATTGGTGTTCCATCATTTCCTTTTGAGTAGTCGAGACTGGTCATTGAAGCCATGGTGTATGTGTGTGTGTGTGTGTGTGTGTGTGTTGCGTAGAGAAGAACGCAGATGCTTCCATGAAGCATGAACAGGTGCTTCCAGCTGACTGGCTGATCCCAGTGGGAGGGCCTTTATTCCCCCCCAGAAATGCTTTGTAGCTTATGTTTTCAGTTAGTGTTTAACTTGATAGAATATATAAAAGACCCGTAGGCCTTCGTTTTCTACACCATTCCTTAGACATGCAGGCATCATGGAAGTCACATTGGTAAGAAACACGCTGTCAGCATCAAATTATAGCAGAAATGCATAAATTAAAAAATATATAACAGAAATGCAGATGTTTCTTATGCCATGCTAATAGTACATAAAATATGTGACTAAATGGATATTATACTGAGTGGCCAGATTATTATGATCTCTGAAGGCATAATAATCTTACCACTCAGTGTACTTCTCTTGAGTACCTCATTTATTTGATATCAATGATACTATAAATTGTGCACCTGATCAGTTTTCCCTTTGTACCAGCTGATAGAAAGCTCAGGGCAAATAAGTGGTTGATCTCCAGCAAAAGTCTAGAGAACTTTGGTACCCATTTGAGATACAAATACACTGAAATATATATATTTCTTCAATTTGAACATGTACAGAGATTCTCTACTTATAAACCACCACAATAAATCATTATGTAAAGCAAAGAAAATGTTAGTTACTAGGAATTGCACCTGATTTCTGGTTACCTATGTCTGCTTAAAAACTTGGATATTTACCAAGTAGGTTTTCTTAAAGTGAGTCATATCTATACTTAATATTTATGTGTAAGTTAGTATTGAACACCTTCAGATAGGTTTGCAAAAGGGTGTATCCCCAGATTGTTGTCTAAACTGACTGTTGGTGGTGTAATTGTTGAAATCTATTTGCATATTGTGAGTGATCACATTGCAGTCACCTTACTCACCTTGGGCTGTAAGTACAACTACGTGGATGCACTTGGATCAGAACTATAGGTAAGTGGAATATCTTCAGGAGATGACTTCTTCTAGTTGCACAGACAACACAAACTTCTGAAATAGTCATTATTTCACAAATATAATTGACTCTTTGTATCTTATACCAAAGTGGGACAGGCAGATTGGAAACAGAGGTCACCCGAGGTATAGAAGTAATTGCTGTGAACAAATCCAGTAACAACTTGAAAGTGAAAATAAATCACCTAAAAGCATCTTTAATTCTCTCTCAATGAGATTAAATCCAATTTCACGTATCAGTTTGGACCAATTCTACACTAAAATGTTAGTCAACTTTAGTTAAGGTTTTATTGGTTTTCATTTTCAGCAACTCTGCAATAGAGTGTTAAAAATCACTATTTTGCTGTTGGTTGTGGGATGTGGGACAAGAGTTAGAGATGGCTTTGTTTTCTGTTTATTAATAAGTTAGTCCATGCAATATTGTTTAGACATTACTCATAGTGAGTTGTATTCCACGTGCCTTCTTGTTGGGAGAGAGAAGCATTGAGCTCAGTTGCACGCAACACTCAGAGTGTCCGTCCATGGTGCTGTTGCTCTTCCTGGTGTCTTTTGAGCCATTGAGCTAAGAGTTTACCCAGGAGCGTGTATCAGGCGTGGACACTTCCTGTCACTCCCATCTTAGAAAAAAGAAGGCGAGAACCATGTGTGAAGGACAATTTCATTGTTTATTACAATCAAAACTACCGCAGGCTAACCACTGACAGCCATGTGGCTTGTAGCACTTCACTTCCATTTGGCTGATGTCACGCTTTTAAAGGAAATCTACTTGTTAATTACAACTTGAGCCAGTAATGTGAGACTGAGACACAAAATGACTTTGAAATTGAGTGATCCTTTTCTTCCGTTCTTAACGGCTTTGTATTTACAGAGTGTCTTTTGGTTTATGGGTTGGACAAGCTATCAATTTTCATTCACTTAACTAGCTTTTTTTTTTTTTCTTGGTCAAAATTAGATGAAGAAAGTTTTCAAGGATTAAAGAAAACATTTGTTACATATGTATTAACCTATTTGTGTTTGATGAGTTATAAGTACATAATTTTACTTTAATCATGAGTTCTCATGTTCTGTGTTTCAACTGCATTCATGCCTAGGACAAAATAATTAACAATATTAATATTGATGCTCCCCAACAAGTTTAAGAGGACAGGGGAGGGGGGTGAAGTGAAGTAAAACCCCACAATCCTGATTTAAAGCTAATCGGTGATGTTTGCTGTACAGAGAATTCTCGTTGCATTTTTTAATGAAATCAGTTTTTATCTGAACAATTTGTTAATTATTTTAAAGTTTTTATAATTCCAAAAAATAAGAACTAAAGTTTTCTAATTCTAAAAATCTAAAATAATCTTGAATTTTGAAGTGCAGACAGACTTGAGAATTATTCTGTTTTCCCAGTAGCTTTCGGTCTGTGTTTTTTGGTTTATGGAGAGCGCCCTTGGAGATTGTACCTGCGAAGTCAGTAACTTTTCTACTGGCCCATCCTTTCCTGCCCTTGAGAAGAGGGAATGCACTTTTCTGGATGTAAGCAGCCTTTCTAGATGCAGCCAGGATGGTCTCCCGGATGCTGATCTTGACTTTGTGGAGATTGATTGAAGCCTTTACCTTTCATTTTTCCTCCCGAGTAATTTCAGCAGTGCATCCACATACAGTGGGCATGCTTTGACTCTTTGAATAGTCACTGTCCTTTATCATGGAATCTACCCAGTGCATTTGACACCATTGCCCTCTGGCAATCACAAGGGGGCTGACTTTCTCCATACTAAAGTAGACTTGTCTAAAGTTCTTGTCTAAAGAAGAATAAGAAAAATAATGTCTCATTCTGTATGTTTTTTCCTAGTGTGTTATTTCCCACTTGTTTTTTAAGATTTGAATTTACATTTCTGATTGGCGCATTGCCATGATGTGTAAGCTCTCAATTTAACAGTTTTACAAGTAAAAGATGAACAATGGGATATGAATTTAAAGAGCAATGTGGTGTTATAGGAATTGACAACATTGCAACAGAATAAGTCCTGACTCCTCTCCTTCTCTAACTTGTTGGGATGCCATTCGGGAGAGAAACTGGTAGGTGCACTTAGGATCACAGATGATATGTTACAATAAAACAGAAAATCATGACATCTGATTATGGACCTCACCAGTCACTCACTTAGCATGAGTTTATATGGGCTTATGTCAAAAAGGAAAAGTTTTCTCTTCCCTGAATCCATCTTACACAGACTGTTGATCAAATGAGCATGTGTGTGTGTGTGTGTGTGACTAGATAGGAAATGTTTCCATTATGAGTATATCTTTATGGAATATCTTGGTTCTTTGCCTCTTGAATATATATATTCATCACCTGGTGATAGAAAACACCCTATCTTCCTTCTCATAAGAGAAATTTTCTATCAAATGGCTTGAGCTTAGATTCTTAGTGTGAAAAATAGCTTTTGTAAATTTTCTTTAAAATTATAATTGTCTGGAAGTGTTTCCCAGGGCCTACTGCCACTTGCATTCACTGGATTATATATTAAAGACTAGAGGCCCGTTACATGATATTCGTGCAAGAATAGGCCTTCCTTCCCCTGGCTTCGCTCCTAGCCACCCAGGAGCCGGCAAACCCTCACTCCAGGCCCGCCAAGGAGCCGGCAAGTCCTAACTTCTCTCTGGAGCACTGCTCCTGTAGCTCCCTCTGCCGCCCCTCCCCTCACATAGAGGTGTCCCACCCCTTCCAGCCGCTCAACACCTGCATATGCAAATTATCCCGCCATCTTTGTTGGGTTAATTTACAATACATACTTACTTTGATTGGCTGTTGGCGTAGTGGAGGTACAGTCAATTTACATCTTAGTCTATTATTAGGTAAGATACCTGATGATTCTGATATGGAGGGAGATGGTTGCTTGGAATGTCGGATAAGCACTTCTTTTGGGAAGTCCTGTGCTCTGTGAAGCAGATTAGGGTCTTTCTCTTCCCCATCACTGCTTCCTGTAGAGGATACAGAGACATTGTTTGCCAGCATCCAAAGCAACCGCTTATAATAAATACTACGCATCTTACGCATCTTCTGCTCGCTTTCAATTGAAAGCACATAAAAAGCAAATTTTCTGCTTGTGTGTGTACATGAATACTGTGGATTTTCAAATAGTTACTTTTAATTATTTCCAGTGAGCTACCTCTGCTTCAATTAAAAAGACATGCGTGCCATAGTTCTTCCTCCCATTTGATATAAATACCCATTCCAGTACTTAATGTTTGAAATGTCCTCATAGATATTAAATCCTTTTGGTAAAAACACAAATGGGACTCTCCTCAGCCTCCATGTAGCTGGTGCATTTTCTGTCTTTGATGTTTTCCTGTCATTTTTATCTAGTTTTAAGTCACAAGCCACTGAGATATTTTCATCATTTGGGGGTCTACTGATTTGTTGTTTGTTGTAAGGAATATATGTTTTCACAGAAATTCTAGTTATTTAGTATCTAAAATAAATATTTTAACTTCATTGACCAAAGGACATTAGGAAAAAATCACAACACAAAAAAACAAATTTGCCTTAAATATTTCAGATAATCTTTCCAAATGTGGGAAAGTATTTGATCCTTAGGTTTGTGAGCACAGTGTCACCTTGTGAACGATTTGTGTTCCGGAGGCATGAAGCAGAGCTGAACAATTTGTGTGCAGGAGCTATGCCTGATGTACTGCCTCCCTATGAGCATGGGAACTGCAGGTCACACTAAACAGGAATTCTTCTGAGTCCCAAGTCACTTGGAAAAGGTCTGATCACTTGTTTCATGGACATCTAATTACTACAATAGTAGTCCCCCAGGGTGTTTTCCTGAAGCAA